TCCTCCTCCTCCTCCTCCTCCTCCTCCTCCTCCTCCCCCTGCTTCTCCGCCTCAGCCTTCGGCCCCAGCAGGGTGTCGCTTGGGGCCGCGGGGGCCAGCTGCGAGGAAGAGGCAGAGGCCGCGGACGAGGTCATGGGCTGCTTGCACGACCCAGCCAGGCGGCCTCGGCTCAGCCACCTGCACCGAGGTCGCGCACGCGCTGGAGAGGTGCAGCGGGAATGATGCCTGCACGGTCCGCTCTGGCTCGGGCGCCGACTGGTAACGCGTCAAGGGGTCTGCATGGTCGGCTCTGGCTCGAGCCCTGGCTTATTTGTTCACAGGTGGAACTCTCGATGATGCGGATGTCCTGGGCAGAAGGAAAGTGCAGCGTGGGCGCTGGCTGGACAGTCGCTTCTGGCTCGGAGGCCGACTTCCTCAAACATGTTGCCAACACGTTCGGCGTGAAGTCGGCTGGCGCGGCCGGCAGATGGGGCGTCGCCCCCCTTTTTCTTCGGAATCGTCGGAACACGTCTCTGCTCCTCCTCGTCCTCCTCGTTCCCGTCAAAAAATCCTTCTCCTACAGTCGGACTTGATTGGACAGGGTAGGCGAGATGACACGAGACTCTTCCGACGGCAACGTGACCCCAGAACACCAGAGGACGTGCGGGTTGCGTAGGTCGGGATAGACAGGACACGAGGGTGCCCTCGATTTGGCATCGTCGACCTACTAATCAAGCTCGACTGCACATCCTCCTGCGGCCGCTGCCGTGGTCCACGTGGAGAGCCCCTGTGCGGCTCTGTGGGGGGCGCGCGGCAGCATGCCGCGGGCCCGCCGCTGGCCAGAACCGCTGCTGCTGCCGCCGCCGCCGCCGCTGCTGCCACTGTTCTCAAGTCGGGCGTGTCCCTCTGCAGGAGCGATCTGCAAAAGTAGTCGCAAAAAATAGTCTGGGGACGACTTCGTGATTATGTTTGATTATGTTTGAGCATGTTTGGAGTATCTGTAATTTTTCGTCCAAAATCTGCCTCTAGGGGGACATGCCCGACCTAACACTGATCCCTCCCTCACCCGCACCCCCAGGCACCATCTTTAAACTTGAATTCGAAGAGTATCCAGCGGGTCACGTCCTTGACAGACTCCTCGAAGGCATTCTCGAGCACGACGTCGAGCACGTGCCGAACAACTGTGGGGGGCCGTGGGGCGATCGAAGGATGCGGAGGCGGGAGCGAGAGCGAGGGTGTGGACGTGAATCGGAATGGCTCGGAGTGGGAACTGGGGCAAGGAGCGGGAGCAGACTCGGGAGTGGGTGCTGGGGCCGCGGGTTCAGCGGGAGGAGGAGGAGGAGGAGGAGGAGGAGGAGGAGGAGGAGGAGGAGGAGGAGGGGAAGAGGAGGAGGAGGAGGGGGAGGGAGGAGGAGAGGAGGAGGAGGAGGAGGACGAGGAGGAGTGGGACTGGCACTGTAACGGGGTATGCGCCTGGGACTGGGAGAGCGGGGAGGGAAGCGGGAGCGGAGCGGCAGACCGAGTGCTCGCCGGAGCGGGCAGGGGAGCTGGGACTCGGAGCGCAGGGGAGAGAGGAGCGACAGAGAGGAGGCGAGGAGGAGGAGGGGAGGAGGAGGAGGAGGAGGAGGAGGGGAGGAGGAGAGGAGAGGAGGAGGAGAAGGAGGAAGGAGGGAAGAGGAAGGAGGAGGAGGAGGGAGGAGAAGAGGAGAGGAGGAGGAGGTAGGAGGAGGAGGAGGAGGAGGAGGGAGGAGGAGGAGGAGGAGGAGGAGGAGGAGGAGGAGGAGGATGCGGGACACGAAGGCGGCAGAGCAGCGAGGGGGGAGCGGGGAGCGGAGGGGCAGGGGGCGCGGGGGTGGGCTGCTGCGCCGCGTGCCCGGGAGAGACGGGCGGGGGCGAGGGGCGGGAGCGGGAAGCGGGCACGGGAGCGGGGTCGCGGGAAGTGGGCGTGGGAGCGCGAGCGAGGACCAACGGGAGGCGGGGGAGGCAGGAAGCGCGGCGGCGACGGGGGTGGTGCCAGAGTCGCCCGTCCGTGGCGGGGAGCGGTGGGCCTGCAGCTGTGGGTGCCGCGAGCGGCCGTGCCACGGCGCGGCCTCGCGGTGGGCCGCACAGCTGTTCGACGGCAGCGGCGCGGCAGAGAGCAGTGGGGCCGAGGAGGGAGCCACGCGGGTGCGCCTGGCAGCAGCTGCTGGTAGGTGGGTTCGTAGGAGGTCTGCTGGTAGGCGTTGAGCTGCGGGACCTGTCGCCCCTCCTCTTCCTCCTTGTCCTTCCCTCCTCCTCTTCGACTTCCTCCTCCTCATCCTCCTCACTCTCCTCCTCCTCAGTCTCCTCCTCCTCCTCCTCCTCCTCCTCCTCCTCCTCCTCCCGTTGGTCCTGGTCCTCCGGATCCTCGTCATCCTCCTCATCCTCCTCATCCTCCTCCACGTGCTTCTTGTCATCCTTATTATCTCCTTCTTATCCGCCTCCTCCTCCTCATCATCATCATCATCACCATCATCACCATCATGAGCATGATCCTCATCCTCGTCTTCTTCTGTTTGGTCTTATGATTCGTCTCCTTGTTCTTATTAGTTTTTGTCAGTATGGTTCGTCTCCGTATTATATTTCAGATTGCTATAAGTAGTAATATAGATATTAACTGTTATGTGTTATTATCTTTAATCTAAATTGTTTTAATCGCGTTCTTTTTTCAGTTTGATACTTATCAGATTGTTATTCATCAGATTGTAAATATTGTCCGTAACATATTGATTGTTATTTGATTTGTATGTATCATATTGTTTTTTGAATGGTAGTATTTGTTCGTCTCCGTATTACGTTTCAGATTGTTATTTATCATATTGTAAAAATTGATACTCATTGTTATTATTATTAATATTATGAATTATGAGTCGTCTTTTTCTGATCATTATTAGCATTCGTAATAGTATGCCTCCCATTTTTCATCATCATTATGATCATCATCATCATCGTCATCATCATCATCATCATCATCATCATCATCATCATCATCATCATCATCATCATCTTCATCATCACCATCAGCATGATCATCACCATCAGCAGCATCATCAGCATCAGCATCATCATCAGCATCAGCATCATCGTCTTCATCACCAGCCTCATCAGTATCAGTATCAGCATCATTATCATCAGCCTCAAAATCATCAGCAGCATCAGCATCAGCATCAGCATCATAATCAGCATCAGCATCATCACATTCATCATCACTATCGTCGAAACCACCATCATCATCATCATCATCATCATCATCATCATCATCATCATCATCATCATCATCGTCATCATCATCACCATCACGATAATCAGCATCGTCACCATGCTCGCCATCGTCATCGTCATCGGCATCGTCATCGTCGTCGTCACCGTCACCACCATCACAATCATCGTCATCAGTATCAGCAGCATCATCGTCATCATCAGCAGCAGTATCAGCATCATAATAATCAGCATCAGCATCATCATCATCATCATCATCATCATCGTCATCATCATCGTCAGTTTGATCGTCATCATCAGCATCATCATCATCATCAGCGTCATCATCGTCGTCATCCTCTTCATCATCATCATCATCATCATCATCATCATCATCATCATCATCATCATCATCATCATCATCATCATCGTCAGCATCATCATCATCACCATCACCATCACCACCATCATCGTCACCATCGTAATCAACATCATCAGCATCACCATGCTCGCCATCAGCATCTTCATGGGCGTCGTCATCGTCGTTATCACCGTCACCGCCATCAACATCATCATCAGCAGCAGAAGCATCATCATCGCCATCATCAGCATCAGCATCAGCATCAGCATCATCATCGTCATCGTCGTTGTCACCACCATCATCATCCTCATCATCACCAGCATCCTCAGCATCATCATCAACACCATCAGCATCATCACCATCACCATCACCATCACGAGCGTCGTCATCATCACCACGATCAGCATTACCATCGCCACCGTCTACATCACCAACACATTCACTGCCTCCACCACCACCACCAACAACATCATCAAAAACAGTAGCAGCAGCATCGGTATCAACATCCTCATCAGCATCTGCATCACCATCACCAGCATCATCAGCATCACTATAACCAGCAACAGTATCATCACCACCATCTGTACCACCAACTCACGCACTACCACCACATCCACCACCGCCACCTCCACCACCACCACCACCACCATCATCATCATCATCATCATCATCAGCATCATCATCATCATCATCAGCATCATCATCATCATCATCACCATCACCATCATCATCATCATCATCATCATCATCATCATCATCATCATCATCAGCATCATCATCATCATCATCATCACCCCCCTCCTCCTCCTCCTCTTCCTCCTCCTCCTCCTCCACCTCCTCATCATCATCATCATCACCGTAGTCATTTTGGCCCAAGATGCTTGTTCCGCAGGGGAACACGTGGATACCGCTAGTCCGCGGCTTGATTTCGTTTCTCGGCCTGTTCGCCCAGGTCTGGATCGAGGCACCTGAGTGTCTCGACTCTCCTCCCGTCGCCTTGACGGGCGAGGGTAAACTGTGGAGTTTCCAGTTCCCTTGTTCACCAAGGCGGATGTCCTGGACGTGGTCTTCTGCGACGAGGACCCAACCGCGGCGCAAGCATGAACGTGATGATGAGTAAGACTGCCCTCGTCGTGTGCGGCAGCGTGATGAGCATGGTGGATGGCGCCAGCGTAGGCGCAGTCAGGGGCAGTACAACGTGTGTGCTTCCTGCAGCCACTGGGAGTACGCGAATCGTGGGCATGTAGTGTGCTCGAAGTGTGGTGGAGCCTACGTCGATCGAGGTGCTGCTGGTGGAGGCGGCCGTGGTGCCCCTGCCGCCGCCCCTGCTGCATATGCGCCTGATCCTCACGCTGCGCAGCTACGTGCCGCCGCGGCCACACTGTTGGCGGCGCGCCCTGAGCTCAAGAGTCCCTCGGAGACCTGGTGGCGCCGCCTGCACCCCTGGGCCCCCAGCTGTGGTCCTCACCCCCTCGCAGCTCGACGCGGCGGTGACCATCGAGCGGACCCGTCTGGCCAGGGTGGTGGAGGATGCTGCCCGACAACTTCGGTTGGCATGCCAGGAGATCGAGCAGAAGCGCACCAAGACCCAGAAGATCCGCGAGCAGCTCGAGGAGACTCGCGAGGCCCTGCGTGCCGCTGAGGAGACGCAGTGCGGCGCCCAGCGGGTCCAGCGCGATGCGGACCAAGCCATGCAGTCCTTCGACCCACAGGTTTGGAAGGCGGCGAAGGCAGCGGAGGCGCGCGAGGCCGAGGCCGAGCGCCTGCGCCAGCAGCGGGCTGCGCCCCCCGCTGCTGCGACCGCGGCGCGCGCGGCCGCCGAGCCCGCCCGCCCTGGAGATGCTCGTGCTGCCGGTGATGCTGGGCCAGCGCCCATGGTGGTGGTGGAGCCGCCCGACTTCGCCACCAAGTCGGCGGATGAGTTTGCGGCCTGGGCGCGCGAGCACAACGTGCCCGCAGGATTGTGGGAGGCGTTCGTGGCCATGCGCGCCACCATCCAGAGTGCTGAAGACGATGCTGGTAGTGCGCTGGCAGTGATGCAGGCGGCAGTCATGCAGGATCTGGTGATGACGAGCTGCGCGTCCTTCGGAAGCGCGGGCAGGGGCAAATCCTCGCTGCCGAGGATCATCAGCGCATGGAGATCCCCATCATGGCCCGCGCCAAGAACCGCACTGCCAAGGGCCTGCGCACGACCAAAGAGCAGATCAACGAGCACATCACTGAGCTTCTCAAGCAGGCCGCCTTTGTCCCTGTGCCTGCACGACCCTCTTGTTAGCCTCTGTTGGTGTGCTGAATGTCTGAGGTCTGAGTGCGCGCGTGCGCGCGTGTGTGCGTGGCACACCTCAGGCACCCCCGCTGCCGCACCCCAGTTGGGACTTCGAGGCTCAGGGGGAGGTGTTGCGGAGGAAGTGGCAGTCGTGAGGCCCGTGGGCCCTCCAAATGCCGCGGGCCCCCGTTCGGGCGTTGCCGTCGGCGCAAGGAGCGGGAATCGCGCCGCTGCCTGTCTGGCAGCGCGGGCGGGATCCGTCTGCCACGGGTGGGGGGGGAGGAGCTCGGCGATCACACTAAGGCGCCCCCCCCCTCCCCCCCCCCCCCCCCCCCCCCCCCCGATCATGCTGATGATAAGCATCAAGGTGTCCAGCTGGCTTATTGTAACATCATTTCATGGTCGAAGGTCGCTAAGGACATTACTTCTGGTCTCCTGGGCCGATCCGACGCCTCCTCTGTTATGAGCACCGTCTGCCGCAGAGTGCACTGCCTCGTGCCAAGAGAGAGATCGCCGCGATGGGCTGGAGACCACATCTGCAGGCGGGCGTTCCAAAGGGGGGCGGCGGGACGCACGGGGGTGTCGGGATTGCGGTCAGCAAGAGCCTGTACTTTAAGCGATTCCTGGCCCACCTGGGCAATGTCACCGATATTGGCTCGGGTCCTGGATGGATGATTGCAGGGCTGAAAACTCAGAAAGCAGTTATGGTCGTGGGGGTCTGCCATTTTGTCTCGCGCCCGGGAGTCGCGGGGGGGAACCCGTCCAAAATGCGGGGCATCGCCGAGTTCGTTCGTGCACCTGGGATCCCTGGATGTTGGCCGGGGACATCAACATTGGTGTCGAAACCATGTGGCGTTCGGGGCGCCCGCAGTCTGCGCATGCTGGAGCGATGGAACCAGCCCCAAGATCTGGCCCCCCACGCGTAGGTTGGAGTCGACGTTCCCTCGCCGCTCAAAGCTCACAGGTGTCTGCCAGTCCGCATTGCCCACCGTGTCTTGGCCCAGAAGTTATGTCGGCGAGTGCGTCCACGTGACATTCCTGCCTGCCGCAGGCGTGATCTTCCGCGGCGGCGTTACCTTTTCCAGGAGAGGAGTTCAGACGACGCAGGCATGAAGACGGAGTGCCCTGTGCAGCTGGCGCGCCTCATTCCTGGCGCGACGGCGCACTTGGATGAACAGGCTTCCGTACAGCACTCCCTGTGGTCACGTGCTACTGAGCGCGCGTTCCTCTCTCGTGCTTGCGCCGCTACCCATGGCGAAGATGAAGGTACAGATGGAGGGGGAAGTGCTGCTCTACATCTGGGCACGTCCACCATCGCTCACAGGGGAGGAATGGGAACAACTTATCGGAATCCGACTCTTGCGTTCTGGTCGCGGTTCCCTGCTAAGCTGGTTGAGCTTCGCACTGCTCTTCGACGGGGCTCCACCGAGTGCCGAGTCCACGGCCTGATCATGGAGATGGTCTCTCGGGTTGGCGAGTTCTCGCCCGCCTTGCCTGCTGCTCAGCCTGCCCCCTGGTGGGCCGATCGAGCCACAGATCGTGCCTTGGCTGACCCCGAGATGGTGGATCGCCTCGTTGAGATCCCCACTGAGGTTTTGAAGCGCGCCTGGACTGAAGCTAAGGCGGCCGTCGGGAAAGGCCTGAGGGACTGGCTCATCCGCGCCATCCCCTACAGGGCCAAAAGGGGCCCATGCCCGGCTTAAGCGTGACGGTTAGAATACTGTTGAGTTTTTCAAGTCCCCCGATGGCGCGAAACAGTTGCCTGAAGAAATGATGGGCCATCGGGCTCAATGGTGGAGGGGGGGGGCTTTGGCAGGTTTCGCCCGGAGAGATAATGAGGCCGGGGGGTCGCCATGTTCGACCTCCGCGGCCTTGCTTTGGAGGCCGCTCGGGAGTTCCCCCCGTCGCGGCCTAGGACACCCAGGCGCGTGAGTTTCTCTGCCGCCACCGCTGCGGGGGTTGACGGATGGAAGCCTCGTGCGGTTGCTGAGCATCCATCCGAGGCGCTTGATGCCCTGGCGTCGTCATGCCCCCTGTGCGAGTAGCGAATGGTCTGGCCTGGGCAGACCCTCATCGGGCTCATTGCGCTGCCCCACAAGTCCCAGGTCTATGAGCGACCTATCTGCACATGCCACACCCTGTACCGTCTGCGCGCTAAGATCAGAGGGGCGGACATTGATCGGTGGACTACGGAGCACGTCGCCTTCTGGGGCGCGGCTGTCAAGGGATCGCCTGCCCTGAAGGCCACGCTGGTTCGTGAACTCTACCATGAATGTGCGGTCCATGAAGGAGCTATCTCGGTGGCGCTCCATTGGGACCTGAAGAAGTTGCTCGGTGCTGTCTGCCCGCGGCTGCTCATTCGACTGGCCTTTAGGGCGAACTACCCTCCCCATCTGTTGTACCTGGGCATGCTGATCCACACGTCCCCCCGCATGTTGGAGGTTGATGGCAGCGTTTCGCGCATGTTGCAGACGGGCCGCGGGGTCCTGCCTGGGTGTTCCCAGAGTATGTCCTAGGTTAAAATCTACGTGCATGAGGCCCTCGAGGCCTGTCAGTACCAAATGAGTGGTAAACTCTCTAGGGTGGTGACCAAGACCAACGTCGATGACGTCGTCCAGAACATGGCTGGCCAGGAGCAGGAGCTCCAGAGGCACTTGCTGCCAGCTGCCGTTCACCTTGTGCACGAGATTGAGCTACTTGGCCTGACGCTGAGCACCAAGAGCGATCTTGGTTGTTCCTCTCAGGCGGTGGGAGCACAACTCGCGCATAGCCTTCAGGCCGCGGGCCTTCCAATACGTCGCCAGTTGAATACTCGGGACGTGGGTTCTTGTGCGACGGCTGGAAGCAGGCGGAGGGCCCCTGAGATCAAACGGCGGAGGCTTGACGCTCGGCGCCGCGCTGGCAAGGTCGCCACTTTGTCCCGCATTGATCGGAAGGCGCCCAAGCTGTTCAAACCTGGTGCGTTGTCGGTTGGAACCCGGGGCCATCAACTGGTGGGCGCGCCCCCCCACCGATTGCAAACGGCGAGGGGCCAAGCGGCCCAGTGCTCTGGGTGGTGGACCCCAGGCTCCTGTTCCACTACGGTTCTGGCGTTGGTGTCGAGTAGCTCGGACGACGCTCTTGTTCGCCTGCGGCATGAGCAGTTGCTTAGCTTTGCCGGCCGTTGGCGCGACCTAGGTCCCCGAGACCGTATGCGTGTCAAGCATTTTTGGGTTGCTGCGGTCGACCTCTGCCTGAGCATCCCTGCCAACTGTCGTCGGCGGCGGGCGCGGGGGCCAGCAATGGCGACTGTGGCCACCCTTTTCGATTTGGACTGGACTCCCACCTCGCCCTGCGAGTGGCAAGACGAGTTTGGCTTCTCCTTGGCTGTTGAAACCCTGGGCTTTCGGTTTTACCTTTGGAGGGCCCTCCAGGTTGCCTGTTCCTGTTGGACCTGGGAAAAAGCTGCGGGGCACTACTTGGGCGCTGGGGTCCAGGAAGGTGTTGATTTCTCTGTGCCGAGGCGGCTGCTGAAGCAGTTTGGACGAAACGTTGATTATGAATCCCAAGCCATCCTTCTTAACGCTCTCGCGGGGGGGCTCTGGACAGAGACTCGCCTGTTTGAGGCTGGGTACGCCGCCTGCTCGCGATGTCCCAGGTGCGGACTCCAGCCTGAGACGCCCGTGCACCGATTCTGGCAGTGCACGGCCAACCACGCCCTGGACGATGCTGCTGTCCAGGCCACAAAGCCTCTGGAACCGATTGCGATCGCGGAGAACTCTCTCTCTCTCTCTCTCTCTCCCCTCCCTGTGGTGTCGAGGGCTGATGTCCCTTGACCAGGTCGTGAACGGTCTCCCCGCCCCTCTCTCATCTGCCTGGGCCTTTGGAGCTCGCCAAGGGGCCCTTCCTGTGACGGGGGGAGTCTAGGGGATCGATGGATCGGGAGGTGGTAAAACTAAGGATTGGAGACTAAGGAGGGGTGGGTGGAGTGCTGTTACGATTCATGTCAACGAAGCTGAAGTGGCAGGTGGTATGTTTGGGACGCTGCCGCCTCCCTGTCAGAATTCCCCACGCTCTGAGCTCTTCGCCCTGCTGATGCTGCTCACAATTACGGAAGGAAATATTCGGGTGTTCTCTGCTTACCGTCCCCGGGTGCGGAGCTTTCGGAAAGCCACTGCGCATGTTGTGAGGAGCAAGAAAAGCATGCTGGACCTGTTGGGCCCGCGTGTGGGATCGTCTCGGGGCGCGTCCGGGCCAGGTTGATCTCTGTTGGACGAAATCCCATCCCTCCCAGGCACAAGAATCGTGGCTATGCAAATCTAGAGAGAGTGGAGCTCATCTTGCATAATGCTGCTGACCTGTGTGCTGGCGAAAGCGCCCGTAGGGGCCAACTGGGATCCCAGAAAATCAATGCTGTCCGTGACGCGGACGCCCTCCAGGAGAAGATGCTGTCGCGCCCCCTTGCTGTTCAGCGCGAAGCGTTCCTCACCTGCTCCCGAGAGGCCCCCTCCCCCAAGGTCCCGCGGCTGCCCGCAAGAGTTCGGGCATCACCAGTGTTGAGTCGAGAGCGAGAGAGAGAGAGAGAGAGAGAGAGACGGCTGCTGGCCGCTGGCCATGACGCCTCTCGTCTCAGCACTACGTTCCGATGCTCTCGGTGTGTCCGCTCTTTCCCTCGGAAGGGGCCCCTGTCGCATTTCTGGCCAAGGATTTGCGTCCCATTGTCAGAGTTCGGCCAGGTCTCCGGGGAGTGGACTCCCCAGGCGGAGAGGGACGCGCGCGCCGAGCCGCCCCCGCTAGTGGTGGCTGACCTGCAGGCGCGCCGCCCACCCTCCGACCATCCCTTGTTCTCTGCTGCCCATCCCTCGCACACTCTCGCTACATGTCAGGGCGTGTTGGTTTGTCTGGTGTGCGGGGCGTTCGGAGTTGATCAGGCCCGCAAGCTGTCGTGTGAATGCGGGCCTCCATCTGCGAAAGGGCGGGAGGCCCTCTCC